GAGAAGTCAACATTATATTAGGTTGGAAGCCTCAATAGATGGTGATGCCATTATGGCAAATTGAGAAAATAGGAAATGGAAAAGGTCCAAGGCAACCCATCTTGTGGGCCACCTTCTGCCTGGCTAACTTGTATTCTTCTTTTAAAATGGCTCTTTTAAGCTTTCCCTCTTGCTCTGCTGGAGGTGATGCTGTTGTGATCTTGCAAAACCCTATGCTTACTCTATCACAAATACTTTCCACGTTTTATAATTATCCCTTCCCCCTACCTGCGTAAGAGGAAATTAAAGCTCTGCACCTGCCAAGAGAAGGAAAAGAAGTGCAATACTCGATTCAGACAGAATCCCCAGGATCTCCACTAAAGGAGGCTGAAGAGCCAGGAAGAATGAAACACAAAAAGAGGAATGCACTGACAGTGAGCATTATCTTCCCAATACACCATACACAGTGCCTCAAGACTTGCTGAATGATGTATTGGGTTGTCCAAAAACTGTTTAGTTTTCCTGTAGTGCTTAGTTGTCTTTAACTTCATTTGAATCTCTTTTTTGTTAGATTGTATTGTGACAGCTGTCATATCAGTGTGTATTAAAAAAGAACATCAAAATTGGTGAATTTTTGTGCACCCATTTTAATATTGAAGACGGAAAAGAACATGCAACATTTTCAGCATATTATGCTTTATTATTTCAAGACAGGTAAAAACCCAACTGAAACACAACAGATCTATGTATTGTAGGTAGAAGGTGCTGTGATTGATTGAACACAAAAGTGGTTTGCAAAATGTCTTGGTACTGTTGACATTTTAGTCAAAATATAATTCTTTGCTGTGGGGCTGTCTTATGAATTGGAAGATGTTTAGCAGCACCTCTGGCCTCTAATCACTAGAAACTAACAGTGGGAGATAGCTGACATACTCAAAATACCCAAATCAATAGTTATTGGTGAAAATGAAAAACATGTCTTTTATTTTATGGAAAAAACTAAATGGACATCTTATCCAACCCAATATTAAGATAGGTGTCTCCTTTGTTAAGAAATGAAAACTATGGGCCACTCCTAGTACTGTTTGTGTGCTCACTGGGTGCAGACCTGATATCTCTTTTGTGAAGCAGCGCTGAGGACACTCTAGTGCTTGCTGTGTGTAACGAAAAACCCAAGGAAGGAATACAGACTGAGAATGATGATATTAACTTGAAGGTGGCAGGGCAGGATGGTTCTGGGGTACAGTATGAGATAGAGAGGAATATGCCACTAGAAAACTAACAAAAGCCTATTGTGAAGGACAGGGTTTGTCAAGGAAGCAGATCGAATTGCGATTTGATGGGCAGCTAATCAATGAAGCAAACACACCTGCACAGTTGGAAATGGAGGATAAAGTTACAATTGGTGTGTTCCAGCAGCAGACAGGAAGTGTTCACTAAAAAGGGAACCTGCTACTTTATTAGAGAACTCTGGTTCTCCAGACCAAGACATTCTGAGAAAACTGCTGTTTGGTTCCACAACATTCTGACAACTATAGTATGCTACTGATTTTTCTATTCCTTCACTTTCCCTTTCTCTTTCCTTTATTGTACCTTACATACAATAAGGTACAATAAGGTACCTAAGGTACCTGATGTGTGTGCATGAGCATTTGCACTTTTTAAAAGTAGACAGCTAAATGGTATGTTGATGGACATCAAATGGAAATTAGATGGGGGAAAATACTGGCTCTGTGAAAATGTCACCCTTTCCATTAGTGGCATGCTCATTCAGCCCTTATCTTTATTCTCCAGTAAGTTGTCTTGCTCTCATTGTTTAACAACAACAAACAAACAAACAAAAAAAGGCATTTTAAACCTCTGGTAGTCTCCATCTCTCCTTTGTTTGATTGGAGAATTTTAATGTTTTAAATTTATCATTGCAAAACCAAGGACAATTTTGTAACTTTTAAAAAACATATATTTTATTGATTATGCTATTACAGTTGTCCCATTTTTTGCTCCCCTTTATTCCCCTCCGCCCTGTACCCTGCCTCCCACCAGAATTCCACCTCAGTTCATGTTCATGGGTCATACATATAAGTTCTTTGGCTTCTCCATTTCCCATACTATTCTTAACTTCACCCTATTTTTTACCTACCATTTATGCCTCTTATTCCCAATATGTTTCTTTCCATTCCCTTCCCCCCCCACCGCTAATACCCTCCATGTGATCTCAATTTTCTGTGTATCTGTTCCTATTGTAATTGTTTGCTTTTTTTTAAGTTAATAGTTGTGAGTTTGTTGTCATTTTATTGATCTTCTTTTTCTTAAAGAATAATAAGGGATTAGTGACGATGAGCTCCTTTAACTTGACCTTATCTGGGAAGCACTTTATCTGCCCTTCCATTCTAAATAATAGCTTTGCTGGATAGAGTATTCTTGGATGTAGGTCCATGACTTTAAAACTTCTCTCCAGCCCCTTCTTGCCCACAAGGTTTCTTTTGAGAAATCAGCCGACAGTCTTATGGGCACTCCTTTGTAGGTACTGTCTCCTTTTCTCTTGCTACTTTTAAGATTCTCTTCTTACCTTTAATTTTTGGTAATGTAATTATGATGTGCCTCAGTGCATGCTTCCTTGGGTCGAACTTCTTTGGGACTCTCTGATCATCTGGGTGTTCCTGGAATGCCACATTGGGGAAGTTCTCCTTCATTATTTTTTCGAGTAAGTTTTCAATTTCTTGCTCTTTCTTTTCTTCAGGCACCCCTATGACTCGGATGTTGGAATGTTTAAAGTTCTCCTGGAGGTTCCTAAGCCTCTCCTCAGTTTATTGAATTCTTGTTTCTCCATTCTGTTCTGGTTGAATGTTCATTGCTTCCTTCTGCTCCAAACCATTGATTTGAGTCCTAGTTTCCTTCCTTTCACTGTTGGTTCCCTGTGCATTTTCCTTTATTTCATTTTTCACAGCCGTCACTTTTTCCTCTATTTTGTGAGCATACTCAACCATTTCTGTGCACATCCTGTTTACCAGTGTTTTGAACTCTGCACCTGATAGCTTGGTTATCTCTTCATCGCTTAGTTGTAGTTTTTTTTCTGGAACTTTGATCTGTTCTCTCATTTGGGCCATATTTTTTTGTCTTGGTGAGCCTGTAAGGTACTAAGGGGCAGAGCCTTAGGTATTCACCAGGGCGGGGCAACCCATGATGCTGCATTGTGATGCTTTGTGGGGGGAGAGGTCCAGGAGGGAACAACACTGCTTGCTTAGTTCTCACCCTGCTTTCAGTCACTTCCCCCACTACCCACAAGCAAATTGGGCCCTTCTGATGCTGATTCTTGGGTGGGTGGTTTTGTGCACATTCTAGGACCCTGTGGGTCCCTTCAACAAACTATCCTGTGAGGCTAGAAGTTTCTCCTGCTGCCTCAACCCCCACAGGTTTTTACTGCCAGCGAGGTGTTGAGGCTTTATTTTCCCTGGGTTGTGCAGACTGTCCTGCTCCCCAGTTGTTCCTCCTGGTTTAGCTGCATGCAAATGTGAAACTGCCAGGTCCACCAGCCATTGCCTTGCTGTGAGTCCTCTCCACCCCCGCTGCCTGTCTTCGCCCTGCCTACCAGTTTGGATGAGTGTTTCTTAACTCCTTGGTTGTTGGACTTTCATCCAGTTTGATTTTCTGACAGTTCTGGTTATTTTTTGGTTTTGAATTTGTTGCTGTCCTTCTTTTGGTTGTGCAAGGAGGCAAGTGTATCTATCTACACCTCCATCTTGGCTGGGAATCTATAACTTTTTTATACATAGCTGTTACATGTAGGGCAATCTGTCTTTAAGGAGGGATAAATTACTCTAAAAAAAGTGAATTCTAGATAGTTTTCCCTTCAAGTCAAGTGTCCTGTTGTTTAAATAAATGTCTTAAAATAAAAAAAATATATTGAAAACTACCAAAATTTATGGTGAATAGTGGGAAGACTTCACCACCATTCTATGTGCTTCTAAAATTTGGCTTATTCTCATTCATAATAACCAGATCATTTTCTTTTATTCATACACATGAATGTTTGTACTATATACTCAAGAATACTTGAATTTTTACACATACAAACACATAAATACATCTTACACACACATGCCAAGGGAAAGAGGTCCTACTTAACATCCCTATGCAAATCCTCTGCTCTAAAGGTGGGAAGGATTTTAAGTAACTCATATAGTTGTAAGAATAAAAAGGATAGTATTTGTGGAAATTTCCTTGTGAATTTTCTCTAAAGAAATTTAATTTGATATTTTTCAAGGTTTTAGATAGAGTACTGTGTTCCTGAAAAACAAAACAAAAAAACCCCCTACATTTAAGTTTAAAAGGCCTTGCTTTTTTGAAAATGTGAAACTCATAAAAACTTAGATATAAGTGACATATAATATTATATTAGTTTCAGGTGTACTATGATTCTTTATTTGTATACATTGTGAGATGGCCACCACAATAAATCTAGTTAACATCCATCACCAGTTACAAATTTATTTCTTGTAATGAGAAATTTTAAGATCTACTACTCTCTTAGCAACTTTGAAATATGCACTATATTACCATTAACTATAGTTGCCATGCTGTGCATTACATCCCCCTGACTTACTTATTTTATAACTGGAAGTTTGCACCTTTTAATCCCCTTCACCCATATGGCCGACACCCTACTCCCACCTCTGGCAGTCACCGTCTCTTCCTTATATCTATGAGCCTGATTTTTTTGTTTAGATTCCACATATTGGTGAAATCATATGGTATTTGTCTGTGTCTGATTTATTTAACATACGTTCCAAATCCAAGACCCATCTATGTTGTTGCAAATGGCAACATGTCCTTCTTTTATGACTAACAGTCCACTGTATACTGTATACAGTGGACTGTAAAGTATACACTGTATACTTTATCTATCCATCCATCAATGAACATCTAGGTTTATACCAAAAAGGCTTTCTTAAATGTTAGCCCTGTCTTCTCATTGTTCTAGGTTCAAAGTCATTCAAATTAAACAATGCATAACACTGTTATTAATTACGAACATTTATTAAGTATCAAGAGTATACTGCAAAGGTTGCGATATAAAAACATAATTAGCAATACAGTGTTTGACATTGAGCTTACAATCTAAAATGAAATACAGTAAGAATGCTTTTGGCTTACATTAAAATTTCCTGAACTTAGAAATGGCTGTTTTGGCAAATAAGCAAGGCAAAATGACCTATCATTTCAAGTACAATGTTAATAATAAGGCTTAGAATATGATCCCAAGAATGTTTTATTTGTTTCCAGACATTTCCTCCAATTAAACTAGGCTTGGTAAGAAAAGAGGCCTTAGAAATTTGGTAAAAACAATAAATTATTTAAAATTGTCTTGTTTGCTTAACAAGCTTTTAAGCAAAGAGATGCTTACTAGCCCGAGTTTTTTTACCACTAGGAAAGACCCACAAAAAATATTATGAACTAAACCAAATTTGTCTTCTATGCCAATACAGTTTTTCAACTTTTTCCTCCTTCCCACGTAAGGGCTCCAATGACAGCCTTATTAAGGAAGTACTGTATCCAGATAAAATACCCTAACAAGTTGAACATCTGGGAAATATTAACTCGTATTTCAAAAGAAGAATAAGCAAAGAGAGCACTGGGACCTCTAGCTGCAGGAGAGGCCTGGCTATGTAGGGTACATAAACAAAGCAGCTAAGTTCAGTCAATGCATCTTCAAAGTGATTAAGAATATAGGATGTATATGTATATGTATATGTATATGTATATGTATATGTATAATGGTTGCTATTCTGCTTTGTATTTCTGGTGTAGAAGTATTTTAGAATTTAGCATCAAGACCCTACTGCAAACTCCGTACTATTCTGCCTATATCCATAGTATAATATTTAATAAACACATTCAAGGTTTTCATTGCTGGTCATAAATTAGCTGAAAAAGGCACACTGGAGGGATTTTGATTCTTACTGTCAAATGCAAAGACTGTTTTAAACTTCTGAACACATGCCATCTTAAACTATATACTTAATTATTTTTTCAACCACTTGTGATTCTTTCAGGAACACTAAAAATAAATTAGTGGTTGTTAAGTTGTCTGAAACCTGAAATAGGATTTACCCTGTAAAGTGCATACATACACTTTTTAATACATGCAGAGAAATGTTTTAATGGCAGAATAGTAGCATCCTGAGATGGTATGTTTAATAGCAAAGCAATATTTTAGTAATTTTTGGAAAAACAATAACTTTCCCCTTAAAAGCTCATCTTGGTAACTTTCTTTTAAATGAAAACACAGCAGCAGCAACACTCAAATAATATTCATGACTAAATGCTTTGCATACAATTTTATCAAGAAAGAATGATCCAGGAACTCCAGAATAAAACATTTTATGAAGTAGAATAATTCACTATTTTTGACCTAAAGTTGAGAAACATCCCTTTTCCAATTTAAAAGTGCCATTTATACATCTTACTTACAGCAAATAAAATCCAATGAATTATTAGATCTGAAATGAAAAGCTTGAAACATCTATCAACATCATTCTCTTCTAATAAGATGGCAGAAGTTAATTTTAATGTTTCCCAAAGAGGGATAAAAAATTTTAAAAATACAATCACAGCTGTGGTAAATAAATCTGAGTTTATAAACCTCAACCAATTCATTTACTTTTAGTTGGTACTGTATAGAACAGCTAGAATTCCTGATTAAATTATGTGTTTTTCTAAGGCAAGGCAAGTTTATGTCTAAAGCATAGATATTAACTTGATTATAAAGGCAATATGACCAGAACATATACATTCACTTTTTTTAACTCATATATTCCAAGCTACATAAAATTTAATTTCATGTCCTATTCTACAACTACTCTTTGACATTAAGCTTAAAAGCATAATTGCTGTGATACATACAAAAACTTTCATTTTTCCAATACTGCAAATAATACTGTAATTTCAAATACATAGAATAAACTTTTGCACAAAATTTTAAAAAGGCAAACTATTAGCTAGCTATAACTACTGTGTTAACTGTATAAAGAAAGAAATCACAAGGAAAACAAAATACAAAACTAAGCATAATTTGAAAAAACTAAGCATAATTATTGCATTTAACAATTACAACAAAAAAAATCAAATCAAGTAGTTCTGAAAACACTTGATTCGTGGTAACGTGTATATTCATTTTACAGCTACCGGTTTGATAAACATGCTAAGATTCCATTAAGACTTGTTTTTCTTGGTTATTTTTCACCCTTGTATACTCCCCAATAGCAGTTGGAATTAATTTTGTTTTGAGTACAAAATAAAATAATGTTTATATTTTTTAATCTGAGTCATGTAAAAGCCAACTCCATACTCTCATTTTAAAAAGCTGTATTTGATTTTAAAAAGACAACTAAAAACAAAAGTTGTAGAGAACAAAAAGGAAAAAAGGACTTATAGACATGGACAAAAGTGTGGTGATTTCAAGAAGTGTGGTAGAAGGGGACTAAGTGGTAATATAAAAAAAAAAGTTGCAGTTAATTTTTTGGACCTTAATTAAAATTTAACATTTAAGCATGCATTTTTTTGCTATGAAGTATAATCTTCATTTTAATAAATTGGTAAATGTTCTTAACAAAGGCAAATCTTGATGTCATCTATTTTAAATATGATGACATAAACATTTTTTCTTTTTTAATGAGAAAAAGGAGATGAAGAAAACCATTCATTTAGGTCCTCTTCACTCAATTATTCTGAGACAGGTTTAAGTAGGATGGATCAGATCAATAATGTTGGTACTCCCTTATCTTTGCAGAGAAGAGAAAAAGGTAAAATAAAGGAAGTTATTTCCTTCCTAAGGTCTCAGCTAGTTTCTTAAGTCTTTTCTTCAGTTCCAGCGGAAACTTCTCATAGCACTTCTTACAGACTGGTTTCATATCAAACTCCACAAATTTATTCCTAAAGATAATAATAAAAAATTAGTGGAAATATACTTCACATGGACATGTAAATAATGTGAATTAATTTTACTGATGTAAATGAAGATACTATATGTTAGCAAACAAGTATAACTCTAATCTCAATTCCTGTCATTGTGGTAGATGTAAAAAATTCACAATATTTAAAATCAATTATCCTGTAAATTGATCCTATACATCTACCTGTGTAACACAGAATGTGTATTACATTGTAGCCAGCGTTAAGTATACAGGAAATCTAATGTAAAATAATTTAGGTAAGTAAAATTAGTCACATTTTAAAGTACCAGGAGAACACTTTTAAAATTACTTGAGGAAGAGAATTGTATCTCTGTTATTTGAATGATCCCCCCTTTATTGAAGGCAAATTAATCTTACTATTTTAAATTAGGTAGTTATGTGGTTTCATCTTTGCTGGTATAAAATAGTTTGCCTTCCATCCTCCCTTCCCCCGCAAAATCAACCTAAAATATCATCTGAAAAAAATCTTAAATCAGAATGGGTTATTTTGATTGATTGTTTGACAGAAAGGCTGGTAGGGGAGATAAAGGTTTTTAATCACTCTTAATGAATACAAATGAACGAGACTGCCTGTGGTTACATTTTGTGAATGGTAGCTTGCTCTATGGAGAATTAAAGTCTTTTTAAAAGCTAGAGCAATACATATTATCAATTTATTTGTAAAATAGTTATGGAGAGGACAAGTTTTCAGATAGCCTCCTATCTATAACACTTTGTTAATTTGTGATTATAATAGCTTATTACTTAGAAATCCAGGGTCTTTAATTGTGAATTGAGTAAGCACACAACTTTATAACTTGTTCATTATCTTTGTAATTATATTTAAGAAGCACTTGTGGATCAAATCCAGTAGTGCACTGTCCTCTATGACAAGTGATTAAACCTGCTAAAACCTTTTTCTAGCTGTTTTTCAGAGATGCAATGCTGACAGTAATGCAAATGTGTTACATTTCAATTATCAGTTTAATTTAAACTATTAAATTAAAAATTTCCCCCAAAGCCTTCCTAGAACAGAAGCTATTAACCCTAAACTACCATTTTTTTAATTGCAGGAAATAAATTATCACTTCTTTTTCAGATACTGCTAAGCAAATCTTCCACTGTTTTAATATCATATTTGAACCTTAATTTGTCTTTATAGATAAATAAACATGAAAACTGAAAAGCTAAGGAAACTTTTCAGAACACAATGATAACCATAAAGGAAGACTGGGATAATCATGATGATAATTCAAAAGAATTTCAAAGACTGAATTATTTTTTAATAAAAATCAGGAATAGAGATTGGAAACTTCAAGAAAATGACTTCATTGCCCTGAATGGTGTGCCTTTCAGTGTGTTAGATGTCCTCCTGCAAATCAAAAGGTCACCAGTTGATTCCTGGTTAGGGCACATGCCTAGGTTTTGGGGCCATGTCCCCAGCAGGGGGCGTGTGAGAAGCAACTGACTGATGTTTCTCTCCCTCTCCTTCTCCCTCCCTTCCTCCCTCTCTAAAAATAAACACATAAATCTTAAAAAAATTAAAATGAATTCATTAACAGTAAACATATGGGCATTATATGAAAGCACATATATAGGGTGTAGCACAAGTAGGTTTATAATTATGAATACACAAAATAGTTTATTGTATTATTATTTATTAATTATTGTATTATTTTCCATATGAACTTTATTTAAACCTACTTTTGCCCCACCTGGTACATACACCAAAGATAGTAGAAATCTCATTTTGTACATTACATGATGTTTGCTTAGATCTGAAACACACTGAAAAAACTTAATTTATTACCGAACTTAGAACATGAGACACTTGAAATTTATCAATTAAATTAATTTAGGCAAAGAAACTCAAAACTAGGATTTTAACAGTTGCAATTATCAGACAAAAATACTTTAAAACTTTCCTGTATCAAGAAATTGAAATTCTTCCCTTTGTGAAGAATTATTGTGATTTAAAAAAAGAGATGCCGTAATCTACATATTGAAGGAAATAAATACCATACAAGTGAAGTACAAGCTGGTATTAAGTGTGAACTTTATTTTAAGCTGTATAATTTTAATAATTGTGAAAGAACCAGCTCTACACAGGATGAATACTTGTATTACTTGGTAGCAGTTATAAATATACCTCAAACAAACAAACAAACAAACAAATAAATAGTAAAAGACAAAAACAGAACAAAAACATTCTAAAGGACTAACCAAAGAAGAAAGTAGTGAAAATGATAGAAGGGATAGAAAAGTTTACAAACAGACAGGCTTTTTCTTTTTCTGCTTGTCCTTATCCTTTGCTTCTCTCTCCCGTTTAGCGAGTCGCCTCTTAAATTCTTCTGGCATTTTCTCATAACAGTATTTGCAGACTGGTTTTAGATCAATTTCAACAAACTTATCCCTTTGAGGAGGACAAAGAAGAAATAGAAGAAAGAACAGGAAACAATTAAAGGAAGAAATTTTATTTTCAGAAGGCCTAAGTAGAAAGAAAAAAGGAATCAAACAAGTATCTTTTTAAAAATTCTGTGTTTTAAAAAAATGTTACTGCAAAATTTTCAGTGTTAGGATTCACGCTGGACCACAATGTATACTTACTTGAGTGTTAATTTAGTGTTGCAGGTAGAACAGGCAAAACAGTTCACACACCAGGCCTTATTAAGAGCAGAGACCACTAGAGGAATAGGAAAGACAACTGGTCACATACACTGGTATGGGAAGTGGGTAAGCTGAAACTTTCAACTCTAACACAGAATTAAGGTTATTTCAAAACACTTTGAAGAGGTCCTCAGAGGACTGCTTGCAAAAGAATCACACAGTTAAAAATCCTTAGCGTTGTTAGTTAACGTTTACTGAATTATTTTTATTAACTTATTTTTTTACATTGAAAACACAAAAACTGAACAACTTACGTCTACTATGACTGAAGGCTTCATCTTTGGAAAGATTATTATTGACCTTTTTAACATTTACTTTTTATTTTTTAAAAAAGATTTTATTTTTTAGAAAAGAGGGGAAGGGAGAGAGAAAGAGAGGGAGAAACATCAATCAGTGGCCTACCACAGGCCCCCAACTGAGGACCTGGAGTGCAACCCAGGCATGTGCCCTGACCTGGATTCAAACTGGTAACCTTTTAGTTGGTGGGCCAGCATTGAGCAACACTAGCCAGGGTTCATCCTTTACTTTTAAAATATACATAGAGGTCTATTTTCATTCTTCCTGCATTTAAAACTGTGTCAGTTAAGGTTGGAAGATGGTGGCGAGGTAGGTGGAAGTAGAGCCCACTTCCCCCTGTGCACAGGTAGAACACCTAGCTGATATTCTGAGGAACAGAGTAAACAGCCAACGGAATCCCAGCTTATATGAAGGTTGGTGGCTAAATTGTAGAGGACACTGAAAAACAGATGGTAAGGAGATTGCTTTGGGATGGTAAGGGCCCTCAGATAAGAGTAGGGACCAGGGCTGCTGCAGTCTTTGGCTGGTGCCTGCAGCCTGTTGGAGCCTACCCCAGGATCCTTGGATGATAGCCAAATCAACAGCTCCCTCCTCTGCCAAACAGGGAGGAAAGAGCAGCACCAGGATGGATCTGGATGCTTGAGGTCGCTGGGGGGAATAAAGACAAAGTGGGAGACACACAGGGGCAGTGTGCACCCGCTGAGACTGTGGATGCCAGATGAGTTATTACCAGAGGAAATGGGGAGCTGGGTGACACCTGGAGACCGCAGAAGAGTTGGGCTGTGTCAGACCCTGACCCGGATCATCTCCAGGTTAGTTAGAAAGTTGGGCTGTGTGAGAGGCCAGGTGCTTGTTAGAAGTAGCAGTAGTCTTAAACAGGAGGATTTTGTTAAAAAAGGCTCTTGGTTGCTGGCTGCTGCAGCGACAACCTTGTCTAATGCCCCTGCTCCTGTACGGTTGGGCTAGCTCACTAAGAGGAAGAAGAAGGTGCCCTCCACAAAGGACAGCAGCAGGACTCATGGAGTTAGCAGTCCCCAGAAAGACTTAACTCAGTGGGGGAGCTAACTACTCTGAAGAGACTTTGAGAGTGCTTAGCACCTAGGACAGCAAAGAGCGAGAAGGTGGTGTGTGAGTTGCCTCTAATTAGTGTACCTCAAGGATGGCACAACTGGTGGATTGAAGGTGCAGAACTAGAGCACACGGGCACTGGGGGCCTGGCAGTGAATGGAGGAGGTTCATTCCTCCATTCCAGGCAGTGAAGGGTAGAGGCTGGGCAACTGTGAAGAGTGTGGCCCAGACCTGGCCCCCTACCCTCCCACTTTTCTCCAGAGGAAGGGAGAAAAGTGAAACCCAACACCTCTCAGCCTACTGCATCCATGAAGACCAGCAAAACTCGCTTGGCTGATTTAAAGTCAGCAGGCTTTTTTTCTTCTTTTTTCCCCCACGCAAGTGAGACAGTAAGACCTGGAGCTGTAAAGGTCCAGAGACAGACCCAAAGAGGGATCACAAGGCTAATCTGAACAACTGAGAAACTGAGACAGATTTCACTTTGCTATTCCAGAGAATATGCATGTTATTGTTTATTTGTATTATTATTATTATTCTTTCATTATTTTTACTTTTGTTTTACTAGTTTTAACTCTATTCTCTTGCACACTACACCTACTTTCTTTAATGTACTCTCACTATATCTCATAATCTGACTTCCAACAAGAGCTCTGTTTTCTGGATTCAGCTCACAAGCCTTTCCCCCTCTAACAAGAGTCTCATCTACTTTCCACCTTTTATAAAAAGTGGCTAGTTGGGTGAAACATCACAGTTACTGCTATACTTATCCAAAGGATCTCCTATCTCTTCTCTATGTGTTGGTACTCTAAATCCCATGGAATACTCTCCTGCTGTCTTCATCCATTTTGCCTTCCTCCTGCAACTGATCACATACAAGGGTAGGTGGGAGCTGTGAACACCAATACACTTGCTGGAAGACAGAACCCACCAAAAAAGGAACCACCAACAGATAATAAAAAAAGATGGCAGAGGAGTGAGTACAAGCCACACTAACCTCCTCCCAGGACCAATCTGGAATTACAGCTAAACAGTGGACAAATTACCCAGAACAAACAACTGAACAATAGTGAGAGAGAAGCCTTGTAAGCTTGGACATACAGAAGAACCAGCTTTGGCACAACCTCTTTGCACCTGCACAACAGCATACAGGATGTGGTTGGCAGAATGACCCTCAGTCAACCAGCTGGAGGGAAGGACCCACCAAAGAATGACCCAGCAACAATCAAATCCCAGAAACATCCAGACAGCCAACATAGATGGCATCCCAAGAGCAGCAAGTTCAGGAGATCTAGGACACTGTACCACTGAATCTCATGGGTCTCTTACCATAGAAGTCCACACCACAAACCCAGGGAATCAGATTAATTTAAGAAGCAGAGGCTAAGAAGAAGGAAAGAAGAAACAATGGGAAGACTTCAAAGAAACAAACCCCAAACGAAAGGAAACAAGGAAGCCTCAGAAAGAATGCTAAATGAAATAGAGGCAAGTCAAATATAAGATATTGAGTTAAAGCAATGGTTACAAGTAAGCTCGATGAACTCACAAGAACTACCAAAAACTACAGGGAAACTACAATGACCTCACTGCAAACTGTATCAATATGAAAAAAGAAATAGAAACTAAAAACAAGGGCCAAGAGGAAATGAAGAATATAATTTCTGAAGTGAAACACAGCAGAAGGAATCAAAAAACAGGCTAGATGATCAGAGGATCGAATCAGTGAGCTGGAGGACAATGTAGAAAAAAACAACCAGGAAGAGTAAGAAAAGGAAAAAGAGACTCAGAAAGAATGAAGATGTGGTAAGAGAACTGCAGGACAACATGAAATGTAATAATATCCATATAATAGGGATACCAGAAGGAAAAAAAGAAAAGCAAGGGATAGAAAACCTGCCTGAAAAAGTAATGATGGAATATTTCCCTAATTTGATGAGAAAAAAAGTCACACAAATCCAGGAAACAGAGAGAGTCCCAATACAGAGGAACCCAAAGAGGCCCACTTTAAAACATATTATAATTAAAATGGCAAAATTCCATGACAAAGAAAGAAACAAGAAGTAACATACAAAGGAGCCCCAATAAGACTAGCAGCTGACTTCTCAATGGAAATACTACAAGCCAGAAAGGATTAGCAAGACATATTCCAAGTAATGAAAAACAAAAGCTTGCAACCAAGACTACTCTACCCAGCAAGGCTCTCAATTAAAATGAAAGGCCAAATAAGGAGTTTCCCAGACGAAAGTAGCCTCAAAGAATATACCTCCACCAAACAAGCACTGTTAGATACTAAAAGGTCTGCTCTAAGAAAAGGAAAAAAAAGAGCGAGAGAGAGAGGAACACAGGTATGAAAGAAGTAAAATGGCAATAAATAAGCACCTATCAATAATAATCTTAAATGTAAATGGTTTAAATGCTCCAATCAAAAGACATAGAATAGCTGAATGGATAAGAAATCATTACCAACAGATATGCTGCCTCCAAGAGACCAACCTCAGAACAAAAGACCTAGACAGACTGAAACCAACCTCAAGGAAAAACCTCAAAAATGCTCAACTCATGAAGATTGAATACCACGCCATTAAACAATGAGTGGGTTAAGAATGAGCTCAAGGAAGAAATCAAAAAGTTTCTGGAAACAAATGAAAATGAACTCACAACAATCCAAAACTTATTGCACACAGAAAAGGCAGTCCTGAGAAGGAAGTTCATAGCAATACAGGCCTATTGAAAAAAGACAGAAACATTTCAAATTAATGACCTAATGCTACACCTACAAGAACTGGAGGAACAATAACAAAGATAGCCCACAGCAAGTAGAAGGAAGGAAATAACCAAGATCAGAGCCTAACTAAACGACATAAGAGACTAAAAGCACAATTCTAAGGATCAATAAATCCAGGAGCAGGTTCTCTGAAAAGATATACACAACCAACAAGCCTTTAAGCAGACTCAAAAAAAAAAAAAAGGCAGAGGACCCAGATAAACACAATCAGAAATGAAGAGGAGACATTACAACTGATATCAAAGAAATACAAAGGACTGTAAGAAATTACTATGAAGAACTGTATGCCAAGAAATTTGAAAACCTAGGTGAAATGGATAAATTTCTAGAAAAATATAATCTTCCAAAACTGAATGAAGAAGAAGCAGAAAGCCTGAACAGACCAATAGCAGCAGATGAAATTGAAGCAGTAATCAAAAATCTCCTGACACACAAAAGCCCTCGAATGGATGGTTTCACAGGAGAATTCTACAAAGTATTTAAGGAAGAGCTAACCCCTATCCTTTGCAGACTATTCCAAAAAGTCCAGAAGATGGAAGGCTCACAAACTCTTTTCATGAAGCCAGCATCATTCTAATCCCAAAGTCAGATAAAAACACAACAAAGAAAGAAAACTTCAGGCCAATACTGCTGATAAACATAGTTGCTAAAATCCTCAACAAAATATTCCCAACCACATCCAGTAATACACTAAAAAGACCATACACCATGACCAAGTGGGATTCATCCCAGGGATGCAAGGAAGGTACAATATTTGCTAATCAATAAATGTAATACATCACATAAACAAAAGCAAAGACAAAAATCACATGATCATATCAACAGATGTAGAAAAAGCATTTGATGAGGTACAGCACCCATTTATGATAAAACCACTCAGCAAAGTAGGAATAGAGGGAGCATTGGTCAACATAATGAAGGCCACATATGAGAGACATACAGCCAACATCATACTCAAAAGGCAAAAGCTAAAATCTTTCCCATTAACATTAGCAAGAAGACAAGGATGTCTGCACTCACCACTCCTATTCACAACACAGTATTGGAAGTCCTAGCCACAGCAACCAGACAAGAAAAAGAAATAAAAGGCATCCAAATCAGAAAGGAGAAAGCGAAACTGTCATTGTTTGCAGATGACATGATAGTGTACATAGAAAATCCTACAGGCTCCACCAAAAAAAAAAATACTTGACCTAGTAGTGAATTTGGCAAAATAGTGGGAGGATACAAAGTGAATATTCAGAAATCGAAGGCATTTTTGTACATCAACAATGAAAAGCCAGAAACAGAAATCAGGAAAAAAATCCCAAGTGATATAGCAACAAGAAAAATAAAATACCTTGGAATAAACCTAACCAAGGAGGCAAAAGACCTGTAGTCAGAAAACTATGTAAAACTGAAGAAAGAAATTAAGGAAGACACAAATAAATGGAGGCATGTACCATGTTCATGGATTGGAAGAATTATCATCAAAATGTCCATACTACCCAAAGCAATTTACAGATTCAACGCAATCCCTATTAAAGTACCAATGACATATTTTACAGATATAGAACAAACATTTCAAAAATTTATATGGAACCATAAATGACCCCAAATAGCGGCAGCAATTTTGAGAAAGAAGAACAAAATAGGGGGGATTACAATACCTGATATCAAGCTGTATTAAAAGGCCACTGCAATCAATACAGCCTGGTACTGGCATAAGAATAAATGCATAGATCAATGGAACAGAATAGAGAGCCCAGAAATAAACCTAACTCTCTATGCTCAATTAGTATTTGACAAAAGGGACAGAGGCATAAAATGAAGTAAAAATATTTTCTTCAACAAATGATGTTGGGAGAGCTAGACAGCTACGTGCAAAAAATTGAAACCCAATCACCAACTTACACCATACACAAAAATAAACTCAAAGTGGATAAAAGAGTTCAATATAAGTCGCAACACCATAGAAGTCCTACAGAACAACACAGCAGGAAAATTTCAGGTATTCTGTGCAGTAATATTTTCACCAATATGTTCACTAGAGGATGGAACTTAAAGGAAAGAATAAACAAATAGAATCTCATCAAAATGAAAAGCTTTTGCATGGCTAAAGAAAACAGCATTAAAATGAAAAGAGTACCAACTATATGGGAAAACATACTTGCCAATGATACCTTGGACAAGGGTTTGATCTCCAAAATTTATATATTGGAGATCAAATCAATAAATAATATAATATATATTTATATTATTACAACTGACATGACTCCACTCCAGGAAGAAAAACAATGCAATTAAAAAAATGGGCAAAAGACCTGAACAGACACTTCTGCAAGGAGGACATACAGAGTGCCCAGAGGCATATGAAAAGATGTTCAGCATCACTAGCCATCAGAAAGATGAAAATTAAAACCATGACGAGATACCAGTTCACACCGGTCAGAATGGCATCATCACCAAATCAACAAACAACAGGTGTTGGAGAGGTTGTGGATAAAAGTGAACCCTAGTACACTGTTGGTAGGAATGGAGACTGGTACAGCTACTGTGGAAAACAGAATGGAATTTCCTCAGAAAACTAAAAATGGAACGGCTTTTTGACCAGGCAATTCCACTGCTGGGATTATATCCTAAGAACCCTTAAATGCCAATGCAAAAGAAGCTATGTACCCGAATATTTATAGCAGCACAATTTACAATAGTCAAGTGCTGGAAACAACCTAAGTGCCCATTAGTAAATGAAAGGATCAAAACACTATGGTATAATTATACGATGGAATACTATGCAGGAGAAAGAAAGAAGGAGCTCCTACCCTTTGCGACAGCATGGATGGAACTTGAGAGCATTATGCTAAGTGAAATAAACCAGACTGTGAAAGACAAATACCATAGGATCTCATCTTTAAGTGGAATCTAATCAACAAAACAGATAAGCAAGCAAAATATAACTAGAGATATTAAGATTAAGAACAAACTAACAGTAACTAGAGGGGAGGTGGGAGGTGATAATGAGGGGAAAATGGGGATAGGTTTTCAGGAAAAACTGTAAAGGACACATGGACAAAACCAAGGGGTTTGGAATCAGGGGAGGGAGGTGGGGATTGCTGGGGCGGGTGGGGAGTGGTGGACAGAAAAGGCAGACAACTGTACTTGAACCACAGTTTAAAAAAACTTTATCAGTTAAGTATTACTGCTCTGTGTCTTTTGAAAATGCTTCACTTACTAGGAAACCATTCATTGATGGTGTGAATGTAGGAAACTGCATATCAACCTCTATTTATAGTTAATTTTTTTCTTTTCCTTTCCTCTGTGTGTCCTATGAGGCATATAAATGCTATGTACCATGTCTTCCCAGGAAAGCTCTTGTCCTCTCACTCCTGCAGACAATGCAGTGTACATATCACTTAGATGAGTTTTTGTGGCACAATGCTTCCCTACCAAAAAGCACACTCCTCACTGCTTTTCTGTTCCTACTGTCACTGGCCCAACAGAGATATATAGAATAGGGAAGTAATTAAAAAAAACAAACAAACAACCCAGCCATTAATGTATTCACCTACAGGAGTCATTCTTTTAAAACTGAGAGCTTTCTTTGACAGTAACTTTCACCTGGTACCTGTCCCATGTACGAGAAAGTTTTATTTTAAGGGCACTAGAGATTGTTTTCTTGAACTAAACTTTTTTGCAAAATGCATATATGCATTATTTCATCATGTATTTTCCAGTGATATTCTCTGCTGAGAACCATAAACCATGCTGAAGACAGAAATGTTTAAAACTTTGACAGGAAGGTTCTGGCAGAATTGTGCTAGGGACTATTAGCAAACACAGCTGCTTACTGTTCCAATCAATCATCTGTGCCTAATTATCCAGCACAATGTCAGGAAGCCCTAGAAATATCTATAGGTAACTGTCAGGTTTTAACATCTGCAAGTTTAAAGTGACTCTTCCTACCAAGGTAGATTAAACTGTTCTTAATAACACTGCTCAACAGCTTCCAAGTTATATAATTCTAGGGAACAGAAAGAAAAATAGGTTTCAGGGTTGAACATAAATGCTTTTTACACTTCTAGTGTAACAACCCCATGGCAATGACCTAAAGTATTATCATAAATGAGGAACAAATCCAACTCTTAGGCTATTATCATCTTAACTGATATAAATTGCTTGGGAAATAGACCAAACAAAGAGAAAAAGTAACTGATAAGAGTCATATTCCAAACAATAGCAATCATCAACCTCTTTCAATTTTCACATCTCCCAAATATTTTTGTTTCAAAATAGTGCCATATGAAATTCCTATAGTTACTTACCATCACCTTCTATAACACGGTTGCAGTGGAAACAAACATCACCAAATAGCTGGAAAATGAAAAAGTAGTAAAAATTCAACATGTGTTAGAAATGAGCTTTAAAACACCAAACATTTAATATGATTTTATTTCTTTCTACCACTTAAAAACAAATAGCTGGCTACCTAAATCCAGATTTTACCATTACTAGAGAAAACATATAGCAGTTGACTAATTTTTACCTGTTATGATGAAAATAATTTACTTTTCATTACTAGCAAAAAACAAAAAAGGCTCTGGAGGTGTTCCAGATTTAAGGAAGCTAAAGGAACATGACAACCCTAGCCAGAGTTTAGTCCTACAGTGGAAAAAAATATTTCCAAGAGAATCCTTTGTAGCTGAAATATTGATAAGCTTAAATTCACAAAAGTGTATCTAGTATCCAATGAGTACATACAATACCTGGTTATAGTGGGTTTCACAATATGCCAGGCCCTTCCTTTCATAATGGCGATGTCCAAGAAATGGTTTTTCACACTTGGCACAAACAAAATGCTGAAAAAAAAATTTGCTACAGGTCATTTTTGATTTGCCATATTTTACTTATCAAATGAAGTAAAACTGTAAAGTTATACTATTTTCAGGGAAGGGACATGAATGTTTGAGGTAGCAGTTTCATTCAGCCATAGGTACTCCTGCAGCAATTTCAGTCTTAATTCAGGTGTCTTTGACAAGCGAAGCCCCAGCCTATTCAAACATCACAAAGTGAGAAGCCAGGTGAATGTCTGAGCAACATCTGTAAGCAAGGGCTGGTGCTGGAGATGGACCATGACACTTCTCTCAGGAAAATTTAAGAACAGACTTCTGGCCAAGATGGAGGCGTAGGTAGATATGCTTTGCTTCATCCCGAAACCATAATAAGAAGGATCACAACTCACTTTAAACCTAAAAACAACCAGAACTGCCAGAAAATCAAACTGTATGGAGCTCTGACAACCAAGGATTTAAAGAAGAAATATCCATCCAGATGGGTAGGAGGAGCAGAGACAGGGAATTAGGGTGAGAGGATGTGGTGTGGCGGCTGCTGGTTGAACCAGTGTTCTGACATTCATGTGTGGCGGTAAAAATCAGGACGGATACCTGGGGAGTAAGCAATCCCAGCCCCAGGATACACTGCACAGGCCAGGGTTCCAGTGCCAGAGGAAAAAGGCCTCATAATTTCTGGCTATAAAAACCAGTGGGGGCCCTGGCTGGTATAGCTCAGTGGACTGAGTGCAGGCCTATGAACCAGAGGGTCGCTGGTTCGATTACCAGTCTAGGGCACATGCCTGGGTTGCAGGCTAGGTCTCCACTAGGGGGACACATGAGAGGCAACCACACATTGATGTTTCTATCTTTCTCTTCCCCTCTCTCTAAAATAATAAATAAAATCTTTTTAAAAAAAGACATTGTGGGGGGGGGGGTGTGTTGGGGCGGCAGAAACAACTGCTGGTCTCCAAAGAAAGTCCGTTTAAAGGACCCATGCAGCCCTAGAACATAGGGCAAACCCACCTACTCTTGTATTCAGCACCAGGGCAGCAGCTAGAAGGGTGCCAACCACATACGGAAAGTGGGAAAATTGGGGAAAGTGACTGGAAACAGGGTGAGAACTGAACAAGCAGCATTATTTCCTCTCCAATCCCTCCTCCACAGTGCCACAAAGCAGCGGAGCGGATTGCCTCACCCTGGGGAAAACCTAAGGCTCTGCCCCATACAACATAACAGGTGCACCAAGACAAAGAGTCAAAGCTCCTCTACCTAATACACAGAAACAAACATAGGAAGGTTACCAAATTGAGGAGACAAAGAAATATGGCCCAAATGAAAGAACAGATCAAAATTCTAGAAAAAGAACTAAGCAAAACTGAGACAGGCAACATATCAGACACAGAGTTCAAAACATCGGTGACAGGGTGTGGAGAGAAATCACTGAGTATAGCAAATGCGTAAGGGAAGAAATGAAGGCTACCCTAAGTGAAATAAGGAAAAATCCACAGGGAACCAATAGTTAAGAGAAGGAAGCCGGGGTTCAAATCAATGATTTGGAACATAAGGAAGAAATAAACATTCGTGGGGAACAAAATAAAGAAACAAGAATTCAAAAAAATGAGGGGAGAATAAGACGACTCTGGGACATCTCCAAATGTGCTAACATCTGATTCATAGGGATGCCAGAAGGAGAACAGAAAAGAGCAAAAAAGTGAAAACTTATTTGAACAAATAATGAAAGAAAACTTTCCTAATTTGGTGAAGGAAATAGACATATAAGTCCAGGAAGCACAGATAGTACCAAACAGGTTGGAACCAAAGAGGGCACACCAAAACACATCACAATTAAAATGCCAAAGATTAAAGCTAGAGAATCATAAAAGCAGCAAAAGAAAAGCAGAGAATTACCTACAAAGGAGCTCCCATAAGACTATCAGCTGATTTCTGAGGGTGAAAGATGGCAGTGAGGTAGGTGGGAGCTGAACCGCTTGCTTGTGCACCCAACTGGGACACCTACCCAATCTTCTGAAGAACAGAGTAACAGCCAACAGAATCCCAGGTTATATAAAGTTTGGAAGTCAAAGACTGCAGAGGATGTTAAAAAACAGATGGCAAGGAGATCGTGTAGGCTGACGGGATGGTCACTGGGGCCTGTGGCTACCACAGGAGCTTTGGAAGACAGCCAGATCAGCACTTATAACTTAACAGCTTCCTTCCCTCCCAAAGCCGGGAAGCCAGTCCCATACCAGGAGAGACCTGCATGTTTGAAGTCACTTGGGGGATAAAGTCACAGTGAGAGACATACAGAGGCAGTGTTTCCTGGCTAGGATAATACCAGAGAAACTGGGGAGTGGGTGACACCTGGAAATGGGAGAAGAGTTAAGCTGTGACTGACCCTGACGCAGTAGTCTCTGGACTGGTCAGAGAGTTGGGCTGTGTGAAAAGCTGGACACTTGCTAAAAATGGCTGTCCACAACTAAGGAGAATTCACTGAAAAAGGCCTTCAGCCACTGGACAAGGAACTCTCCTGTGTTGTGGCCAGGCCAGCAAAGAATGAGGAGGAAGGGTGTGATTTGTTCCAAATCAGGGCACCTCATGGACTGATCAAAGTTGGGCAGTAGGGGCTCAGTGGGGTAGTGACTTAATTTAACTTAATAGGGAAACTATTAAAGAGACTCAGAGACTTAATTTAATAGGGAAACTAAACTGCCCTGAAGGGAATATTCATGTACAGTGACCAGGCCAGCAAAGAAGGAGGAGGGATGGCAAGTTGCTCCCACACGGTGCACCTCATGGACTAATCAAAGAGTGGAATGACAAGGTAGATTAAAGGTGTCCACTGGGCACATATGGACTGTGGGAGCTGCACGGTGCTCTGAGGGCTAGGGCTGGAGGCTGGACACCTGTGAATATTGGAGCCTGGACCAAGCTCCCAACACAGAGCCACAGGAAAGGGGAAAAAAAAAAAGGAGCCCAGCCCCTCTCTGCCCGGAGCTACCAGAAGACCAGCAGAACCCAGCTGGCAGGATTAAAGTCAGCAGGACACTTTTTTTTTCTTCCAAGTGTAAGACAATGAGACCTGGAGCTGTGAAAGGACCAAAGACAGACCCAGAGAGAGATCAGAAGGATAACCTCAACAACTGAGACAGAATTCACTCTGATATGCTACAGAACTTGCATTTTATTTTTTACTTTTTATTTTTGTTACTGTTATTATTTTTATTATTATTGACCTTTTTATGTCTCTTCCTTCTGTTTAGTTTTTTTTCTTTTGTTTGTTTGATTTCATTGTTTGACTGGTTTTCTTTGTTCTCCCTTTCATATTGCATTTTAATTTCCTTCACTTCACTCATATACCAATAACACACTAATCTTGGTCTTTTACTTTTTAAAAAAAATTCAGGTCATGCATTTCTTGTCATATTATTATTGTTCCAATTCCCACACAGCACCTTTCCATGGTCTTAGTCCATTTCACTATCTTCCTGTGCTTTATTACTGTTGCGGTTAATGTCTTCTCCTCGCACACTACAAGTTTCTAGCACTTACTCTCACTATATCTCACCATCTAACTTAGCATAAGCACTCTGCTTTCTGGAGTCAGTGTTCTCTTTTTCCTCTAATAAGAATCTTATCTCTTTTTCGCCTCTTATAAAAAGTGGCTAGTTGGGTGAAATATCACGGTTATTGCTGTACTTCTCCACAGGATCTCCCATGCATTCTCTACTTGTTAGCACTTTAATTCCCATAGAATATTCTCCCACTGTCTTACTCCATTTCACCTTTGCCCTGTCCCAGGTCACATACAAGAAAAGATGGGAGTTGTAAATACCAGTAAATCTGCTAGAGGGGAGAACCCACCAACAAAGGAGCTATCAACAGGCAAAGACCAAGCACAACAAGAGAGCCCACACAAATGGAAAAAAAGGGCAACCCTAGAGCATCCGGACAAGGAGATTAAAGAGAAAGCACCACTAAGTCCCACAGAACTCCTACCACACCCTTTGTGCACCCTATGAAGACAGCTGGCAAACGAGAGCATCAGGAATTGCAGAAACAAACAAAAAGACTCACCTAAAGTGGGAGGACAAAAAAAAACCCCCTTCAATCAAAAGGCATGGAAGACTGCTCAGTAAAAGAGCTAAATGAATAGAGGTAAGTAAATTATCAGGTACAGAATTCAAAAGGATGGTTATAAAGATGCTCAAGAAACTCACTGACAACTACTATGCACTGAGTGGGAACTACAAGAGTATGAAAAAGGAAATAGAAACTATCAATAAAAACAAGAAACAAATGAAGAATACAATTTCTGAAATAAAAAAAAGTACAGTAGAGGGAATGACAAGCAGGCTGGAATGAAGCAAAAACCAAATTAGTGAGCTGGAAGACAAGGTAGAAAGAAAAACCCAGGGAGAGCAACTACATGAAAAAATGCTAAAAAAATACGAAGATAACTTAAGGAACTACAAGATAATATGAAACACAACAATTTTCGAATCACAGAGAAACGAGAAGGAGAAGAAAAGGAGCAAGGGATAGAAAAGCTGTATGAAAAAATAATGACAGAAACTTTCAGAACCTGGAGAGGGGAAAAGCCATGCATGTTCAGAAAGCACAGCGAGTCTCAATCAAGATGAACTCAAAGAGGCCTAGTCCAAGACATACCATAATTAAAATGCCAAGTTTAAAAGACAAAGAGAGAACCTTAAAAGCAGCAAAGGAGAAACAAGAAGTAATGTACAAGAAAACTCCAATTTGGCTAGCAACAGATTTCTCAACAGAAATGCCACAAACCAGAAGGGAATGTTAAGAAATATTCCAAGTAATGAAAAGCAAAGGCCTATAACCAAGACTAGCCTAACCAGCAAGGCTCTCAGTTAAAATGGAGGATGAAATAAGGAGTTTCCCAGACAAAAGTAGACTGAAAGAATACACCTTCACCACACCAGCACTGCAAGATATGCTAAAGGTATTGCTTTATGAAGAGAAAGAGCCCTTGCTGGTGTGGCTCAGTGGTTGAGTGTTGGCCTGTGAACCAAAGGGTTGTCAGTTTGATTCATGGTCTAGGGCACATGCCTGGGTTGCAGGCCAGGTCCCTGGTGGGAAGTGTGTGAGAGGCAGCAGCACATTGAGGTTTCTCTCATTCTCTTTCTCGGAGCACTTTTCCCCATCTCGAAAAAAAAATAAATAAAATCTTAAAAAAAAAAAAAAGAATAGGAGGAAAAAGAGTGAGAGAGAGGAACACAGGTACGAAGGGGGAAAAATGAATAAGTAACTATCAAAATTAAGTTTAAATGTAAATGGATTAAATGCTCCAATCAAAACATAAGAGCTGAATGGATAAGAAAACCTTACCTGCACATATGTTGCCTATAAGAGATTCACCTCAAAACAAAAGACCTACACAGACTGAAAGTGAAAGGTTGGAAAAAAAAAACTCAAGTAAATGGAGAGGGGAAAAAACCAGGGCAGCAATACTTATATCAGACAAAATAGACTTCAAACCAAGGCCATAAAAAGAAACACAGAAGGATACTTCAAAATACTCAAGAATCTACCAATAAAACATAAACATTATAAACATATATACACCCAACATAGGATCACCCAAATGTGTAAGGAAAATCTTGGAGGACTTTCAGAAAGATATAGACAGCAACACATTTATACTAGGGGATTTTAACACACCACTGTCAACAAGGATAATGCGCCATTACATTGTAACCATGTAACATTGAACAATGTAACCAGAAGGGCAGGTCCAGAGGGATAATGGCAGAGAATAGGGGAAGGGCCACCATGGACCATGTATAAAGGACACATGGAAAAAAGCCAAAGGGGGTAAGGTCAAGGGTGGGAGGTGGGGATGGGTGGAGCAGGGGGTCATTGTGGGGTGAAAATGGAGACTACTTAACTTGAATAAAAAAAAAAGGATTATTAGCTGATTTCTCAGAAGAAACCTTACAGGCAAGAAGGAGCTAGAAAGAAGTATTCAAAATTATGAAGGCAAGGACCTACAACCAAGATTACTCTATCCATCAAAGCTATCATTTAGAATGGAAGAGCAGATAAAGTGCTTCCCAGATAAGGTCAAGTTAAAGGAGTTTATTATCACCAAGCCCTTTTTATACGAAATGTTAAAAGGACTTACTTAAGAAAAAGAAAATCAAAACTATGAACAGTAAAACATCAACTCGCAACTATTGACAATTGAATCTAAAAAACAAACAAAAAAAAAATCCAAACTAGGCAAACAATAAGAAAGGAACAGAATCTAGAGGATTGTCAGCAGGGAGGGGGAAGAGGGAGAATAGAGGAAAATGTACAGGGATTAAGAAACATAATTGGTAGGTACAAAATACACAGGGAGATGTTAAGAAAAGTATAGGATATGGAGAAGCCAACTTATATGCACCACCCACAGACATAAAGGAGTGATTGTTGGAGGGAAGGTGATACTCGGTGGAGGGGGCAAAAGGGGAAAAAAACCTGGGACAACTGTCACAACCTAACCAGTCAAGTATATTTCTAAAAAAGGAAAGAAATAAAGGACAAAATATCACATCCTGTATCATTATAAGAGCTCACAAAAACTGTATATTCTATATTTCTAATTTTCTATAAAGTCAGTTGTCTTCAAAATCTTCATATTTAATTTCTAAAAATCTCCTTATCTTGGTAACACATCTGAACCAAGGAAATTAAAAAGTACTATTTGCCCCTACATCATTTAGAATTTACCTCCACATGCCACTGTTTTCCCATGGCATTTACCACGCGCCCTTCAATGGGCCTTCGACAAGCGCCACATATGGGGACTCCCATTTTGTCATGGCATGGCAAGCAATACAGTTCTCCTTTCAGCTCCCGGGCATCAGCAGTCAGCTCCTTCCTGTCCATGAGAAAGATACTCAAATGAATACCATCAAGAGATGAAAAAAAAACAGGCAACGATGAGGCTAGCACTTTTAGAAGGTTTTTGAAGATATCACTATAACAATCCTTGTAACTTCTTTTCCCTCCTGGTGATCAGAGTAACATGAATTAACAGGTTTGAATAGGTTTCAGATCCCTACCAAAACATCAATATCATATAATAATGATAAAATGTACCAATAAGTCAGATATATACCACCACATTGGTCATATCTATCATTTCCTTGACTATTATCACAATATAGTCCATTTGTTGTCTCTAAAAAGCTAGAGAATAATAACAATACTGAGGACAGACTCAGTGATATTATCTTTCTAAAATAACTGAGGAGTTTAGAGACTACTTCTATTTAATAATAATTATTTAAAGTGTCACAAGCTTTCAAGAATAGTTATATGTGAATAGGAATAGACAAATGACAAGAATTTTCTGTTTCCTAATGCTTAAATATGCTATTATTTTCAGTCCCCTGTGTCAATACATATGTCAGAGATAGCCTCAATTAGTCAAATGGACTTGTTTGAATTTCATGTTTTTAAATAATTCTTTACAAATGCTAAAGGAAAATGAGAAGTATCCTACCAGAGGGAGGATAGGCAAGAAAACCAGGTAAGGCACAAATTAATAATCACAAAAAAGATGAGGTGGCTGTACTAACACTACAAAGCTGTTTTCTTGACCTTTTGCCTACCTTATGTCTTCCCCTACTAGAATTTAGCATGTAAGTTCATATTCATTAAAGTATCTTTTTCATTTAAATTTTTATATTATATAACAAACTCAGAAAATCATAGCCCAACAATTTATCATGAGATTCTGAAGAAAAAAAATCCCCTTTAGATGTAATTTAAGATATGTCGAGATAATACCCTAATTAGTACAACTGTAGAAGCTATATATGTATACAAAGATAAGACTCTTAAAAGCTCTTTTTGAATCCTACAATGGAAAAGCAGTTTTTGAGATGATTTGGGATATTTTAACATGGTTTGAATATTCCCAGAGCTGTACATGCACATGCACGAGCACACACACAAAGTGTGCTGCACACCCAGTCAAATGGGGCAAAATGTTAACCGATGAAGCTAAATGATGGGCATGTAGGTATTCTTTTATTATTCTCTTGACTGTTCTATAGGTTTAAAGTTTTCCAGATTAAAAGTTGGAAAAAACCAATTTGACTTGCAAGTATAACAGAAATATAGAGAAATGTGATCTTTTATTTTATTTCCACCCTTTGTGCAATAACAAAGACATCACAATACCCGCAGTTGGCACAGTTGAAATGGTCTGGATGGTAAGGGTCATTCTTGAAAATCAAAGGCTGTTCATCAATGATGGCGTGGCATTTCTGGCAGATGTATTTTCCAAGGCCCCTGGCTTTCTCACGATTATGACAGGGGCGACACAGATGTCTAAACAAAATCAAAACTGTTTTAGAAACTTAAATAAAATATAAGGTCCTTCCTAATGATTAAAAAAAATATGCTTCTCCTATCTTCCAAAAGAAATTAAGGAAACTATTTCTTTAAAAATCACTGCTGACTTAAAAAGAGCAGAATCAACCCACTACTTTTTACATAAAACGTTATTTATTCCAGTCCAAGTAATCTGACTGATACTTAAGAAACTGTATTTTAAGTACTTGTAGCTCTTTTTCTCAGACCAGGAACAAAAGTGGCAGCAAAGCACTGCTGTACAAAAAATGCAGGGCCCTCTCCTAACAGGCAACAGTTCTGAGTCCCTATACCTTAAATTCAGTATCCTAAAGCACTGCCTTATAGTCCCATGAGAACATAGACATGACCTTGCAGTAGTCCCTTTATCTACCCACATCTGACAAGGATAAAAACTCCTACCTGCCAGCATTTTTGACAAACCCGATGTCTGCCAGGACTTGCTGGCAGAGGTCGCAGCGGAAGCACTCAGGGTGCCAGCTGTTGTTCATTGCTTTGATAACTCGGCCAATGATGAACTCACCTGTGGAAAGGGACACAAAGCATATCCAATGTGGTGTTTCACTGCTAAAAGCAATTAGGGAAAAAATACATTTAAACCTTTCTCCACAAATAGGGACTTTTTATGTATGTGTCTACCACAGTAAGCACTATATCAGCAAAATGTTTTCTATTTCATCTGTATCCTTCCTTTTGACTCGGTAGCTATATTTTCAGGCTGTCTTATCACATCTCTGAATCTGGCTTTCCTTTTACAAACAATGTACTGGACTCTCTTGAATGTCTTTTCGTAACTTCTGGTCATCATTGACACAGAAAACTGAAATCCACAGAACATATTCTTGTAACCAGTGCTTAATTTCTTCTTTCATTAAATCTTTGCAACATTCTAATCAATTTCTCCAATCTCTGGAGACCTTTTAGTAGGGCTGTTAGCAACCAGTGAAGGGGTTAAGGTGCAAGCAAGCCCACCATTTGTGCAATACACAAGCAATCTTTCTGTTCACAGGCCAATGCTCAATCTACTGAGCCACACCAGCCAGGGCTACGAAACACAGGTAATCTTTCAGCATCTATGTACCACACATGTTTTCTCTCTCCTGGAAAACCCAAAAGCAAGTAGGTATAGTTTGCATTAACAGGGGAAATGAACATTCTAAAAGCTCATCTAACAGAAGTTCTCGTTTGTCCTAAAATACTTGTATACTGTAAGTCATTAAAAATCATTTCTCTTTCCTTTTAAATTTTTTAAAAAGTTTATTTATTTATTTTAGAAAGGGGGAAGGGAGGGAGAAAAAGAGGGAGAGAAACATCATGTGAAAGAGACATTGATAGGCTGCTTTCTGCACACAAGCTGACTAGGGACTAAATTTGCAACCTTGGCATGGGGACTAAATTTGAATGGGAGTTAAACTGGTGACTTTTTGGTTTGTGGAATGATGCTCAACCAACTGAGCCACATTGGCTGGGGCTTCTCTCTGGTTTTTAAATAATTTTTAAAAATTTATTTATTGATTTTTTTTAGAGAGAGAGAGGAAGGGAGAGCTGGGAGGGTAGGAGAGGTAGAGAGAGACAATTAATTTGTTGTGCCACTTAGTTATGCATTCATTGGTTGATTCCCATATGTGTCGTGACTGGGGATCAAACCCACAACCTTGCTGTATTGGGATGATGCTCTAAGCAACTGAGCAATTCAGGACCTCTCTCCAGGTTTTGATACTCTTTCGGTTTGTTATATATTAATAATAGGAAAGAGGGCTGGCAAATTACCTAAATGTTACTTATAATGACAACCAAAAACCACTGATACTTTAGCAGTGTTAAATAGCTTAATTTTGAAACTTACTTTTATTTTACATTCAACAGTAAAACTTACCACATTGATGACAGCAAGGTGCAAAGAGCATCTGAAAATCATGTTCACAGTACTTCCTTCCTTCAAACTGAAACAGAAAGTACTTGTAAATATTAAATAACCAGAGAATAAACACAATTATTCTCCAGAGACAAAAAGAAAGATGATTTGTAACTAAGAACTCTGCTACTGAGATTTTCAAAAGCAGATATACTTTTGTATCTTCCATACAACTACATGGGGGCACAGGAAAAGAAAGAATGAACAAGTTGAGACCAGGACTAATATTGTTATTAGCTATTCTTAATTGTTTTTTGACTTACATACTCCACCTTTAAGAATCTGTTGAAAGCTACAAACCCCACCCTCTAGAAAATATGCACATACAAACCCCTTTCCACAGGTTTTAAAGCTGGTATCTAAAATATTTTACCTTAGGCTTAAATATTTAAAAAAGGTGACTATTCTAGTATATTTTAAATTTAAATATTTTAAAATGGGACCAAAACCCTTTAAAAATTAAACTTTAACAGTTGGCAAATTTACATCCTTCTTTTCCCTCCTTGAACTGTTTTCATTTAATTTCCTCCAAAGTTTTATCCTAGTATATTTCCTGATCACCCTACCATACTTCACTGCAATTAAAAATTTTAATTTCTGATTCCAAAAGGCTCTAGAAGTTAACATTCTCTTTCCTTTTTCTTTTTTAAAAGGGAATGCACTGATACTTGTGAGGAGCAATCTTTTTTAAAAGAGATTTTATTTATTTATTTTAGAGAGATAGGAAGGGAGGGAGAAAGTGAAGGAGGGAAAAATCAATGTGTGGGAGATACACAGATTGGTTGTTTCTCGCATGCCCGTAAATGGAGACCTGGCTTGCAATCCAGGCATGTGCCCTGACTGGGAATGGAACTGGTAACCTTTCACTTTACAGGATGGTGCCCAACCCACTGAGCCACACTGTACAGGGCAACATTCTTTTTTTCTGGATTAAATTATCATTACAATGATTATTAGTGAAACATGTTACAAATGTTAAATTTTACTTTTCACTATTTATATACTTGAAAAGCATACCTTAATGAGGTGAGCAGGGCTACTCTTTCCCCTCAGAATTATTTCATGCATGCATGGAGAACTATGACTTACCATTATAATAGCCATTAATTCTAGAATAATTTTCTGTTTTGGGGGTTGCTTTTATCCTTTTCACATAAAAACGTTGCAGGAATTATAATTATATAAATGTCTTCCTTTGAATCGTTGAGCTCCTTATAAGTTATATGCTTAAAATCGCACACTTGATTATCAAAACCCACTCTTAATAATGTATCCATTGCCAAATCAATTTCCTCAATTATGAAAATTATCTGAGGGCTTAGATCATTCGATTTAATGAACGTATCCACAATAGCTTAATTGTCAAGCCATATTTATTTTGTGCCAGGAAAAGTCTTCCTTCACTTTTAAATTCAAAGGAATAAAGTGTAACACATTTAATAATTCTATTTTTAAAAGTTACAAACAGAAGGTAATAAATCAATAAGCTATTACTCAATAGTATGTCATAATGTAATACATTATAACATGTAGCCCAAAGTAGAGTTATTTATGAAGTAAGATGTTCCTTTAATGAATATACATTAGGTACATGTATAGAAATCTGATGTTTACCCTTTAGTAGTAATTTTAAAAAGACATCAAAGATCCCCAGTAATTTATTTTAAAAAACAGTCACCTTCCCTCCCCACCTTACCACACTAATCTCAGTCAGCAGTGGAAGAATGACCTCAGAACTGCTTGTCTCAATTGGCCACTTCAGTTTAATAGTAAAAGACTGGTTGATGATAGCAGTGCAACATAAAGCTTTCCAAAAGAAAGGAGAATGTTTTCTGGACCATTTATTTTTTTCTCTTTGTGTGGTAGTTTTAAATTACTAGTTTTTAAAATCAGTCCTTTTTAATAGAAAAATCTTGACCAAAATCTGTCACAGGATATTGAGACCCATTAAAACAAAGTTTGATGAAAAAAGAAAGAAATGATCAACCTTTACTCTGCATTTAACAAAGACATGTATCCTCAAAAACAAAACAAAATAAGTCTAACAGTTAACATATATACTGTATTTGTTAGCATAAGGTAGAAAAAAAATAAGACTGGTTGTAATTTGCTTAAGTCTTTCATGACATGACTCAAATAGGTAATATATCATAGGAGGTATCTGGATCATGGATCCAGATGGCATGGGTTTAAATCTTGGCTGAACCACTGTCTGGCTGTGTGACTCAGTTCAAGCTGTTTAACCTCTCAGTGCCTTGTGAGAGTCACAAACCTATTCTTTTTTGGCTGTGTGTCCTGGCTCATAACACATACTTATCACGTTCATAATTTCATATCACTGTTCTTTGCTTTGCTTTCACAGGAGTCTCTTTAAATGGATGAGTCTTTTTGAAATTAAGGCACAAAAAAGGCAAAGCCTTAAATGGAAAGTTGTCAGAACTATTTCAAATCTACCATGTATTTGAAGATAGAACATCCAATACAGTTCCCAAAGCCAAGCTTCATCCATGACAAGAAAATACACGACGCAAGAAAAGACTAGAGCCTTATGGGTTTAAGTACCCCCGACCAGTCCCTTCAGATTGGTGTCCTGGAGCAATTCCTCATAGTAAGATCTGAGATTCCTGTGTTTTATAAAGTGGGGAAAATTCTATTGTGAAAACAAATATATTATCAGGCAAACCAATACCAGGAAGAAAAATGGAGAAATCGAGTTGCCTGAAACCACCCATATTGCAAACTCCATGCATATCCTGGGGTGCTTAACCCAGTGTGAGCACAACTGCAAGTGCAGAACTTCCTTTGCTCTAACAAGCTACCCCTTCCCTACAGTGTGTAGAATGATCAAATAGTTATGGCCAGTAGTTGATTCAAAGTAAAACTACAGGATGTAAAAAGAAAAAAATTCAGAAATCATAAATTTGGAAGAATCAAACTTCCCTTAAGTATTTCCTTTCTAGGTAATCACATGTTACAATGACAAATTGGTTTAAAATGCAGTAAGCTTATAAGATTCCTAATGCTCCATATTAGCAATGTTTAAACAAAATGCCAAAGTCCCACTACCTGTAGGGAACAGGGGTAGTTCAGTATGGGGAAGAATGTACTCTAGCCATGATCAGCTCTGCTATTAACTGATTAAGGATATGAATAGTCTCTGATGAATAGTCTCTATGAATAGTCTCTCTGGGGAGAAAAAAAAATTCTGCTGCTTTAAACAATACTCCGAATTAGGAATTTCCGCCAAGATGGAGAAGTAGGTAGATACACATCACTTCCTCACACAACCAAAAGAAGGACAACCACCAATTTAAGAACAAAAAATAACCAGAACTGCCAGAAAATCAAACTGTATGGAAGTCTAACAACCAAGGAGTTAAACAAGAAACACTCATCCAGACTGCTAGGATGGGGAGAGATGGGAAGCCAGGGCAGAGAGGATAGCAAAAACGTGGCGGCTGGCAGACAGGGGTGGCTGAGGTGGCGGCTGGCAGACCAGCGAGTCCCACTTTCACATGCGGACAAGCCAGGAGGAACAACTGGTGAGCGAGGCAAACTGTACAACCCAGGTTCCAGCATGGGGAAATAAAAGCCTCAAAACCTCTAGCTGTAAAAACCTGTGGGGCTTGTGGCAGTGGGAGAAACTCCCAGACTCAGAAGAGAGTTTGTTGGAGAGGCCCGAGTCCTACAACATACACAGGCCCACTCACCCAGAAATTAGCACCTGGAAGGGCACAATCTGCTTGTCGGAAGGGAGAGAAGTGACAGAAACTTGGGTGAGAGCCAAACAAGCTAGCAAGCAACATTGTTTCCTCCCTGACCCCTCTCCCACATACAGCAAAACAAAGCAGAAAAGTGGGTTGCCTCACCCTGGTGAATACTTAAGGCCCTGCCCCTTGTAACATAAAAGGTGCGCCAAAACAAAGAAGTAGGGCCCAGACGAAAAAAATGATAAAATCCAGAAAAAGAACTAAGTGACAAAGAGATAACCAATCTGTCATATGCAGAGTTCAAAACACTGGTAATCAGGATGCTCACAGAAATGGTTGAGTATGGTCACAAAATAAGGAAAGAAATGAAGGCTATAGAAAGTTAAATAAAGGAGAATATTCAGGGAACCAACAGTGAAGGGAAGGAAACAGGGACTCAAATCAATGATTTGGAACACAAGGAAGAAAAAAAAAATCCAAGTGGAACAGAATGAAGAAATAAGAATTCATAAATAAGGAGAGGCTTAGGAACCTCTGGGAAAACTTTAAATGTTCCAACATCCAAATCATAGGGGTACCAGAGAGGAAGAGGAAGAAATCGAAAACTTATTTGAACAAATAATGAAGGAGAACTTCCCCAATCTGGCAAAGGAAATATACATGCAAGTCCAGGATGTTCAGAGTGCAAAAGAGGTTGAATCCAAGAAGAAACACACCAAGAAACACCATAATTGAATTATCCAAGATTAAAGATAAGGGGAGAATTTTAAAAACAGCAAAAGAAAATAAGAAACTTACCTACAAAGGAGTTCCCTGATGACTATCAGCTGATTTCTCAAGAGAAACCTTACAGGCAAGAAGGGGCTGGAAAGAAGTATTCAAAGTCATGAAGGGCAAGAACCTACAACCAAGATTACTCTATGCAGCAAAGCTATCACTTAGAGTGGAAGGGAAGATAAAGTACTTCCTAGACAAGGTCAAGTTAAAGGAGCTCATCATCAACAAGCCCTTATTACATGAAATGTTAAAGGGACTTATCTAAGAAAAAGAGGATCAATAATATGAACAGTGAAATGACAACAAGCTCAGAACTATCAACAATTGAACCTAAAAAAAAAAAAAAGAAAAACTAAGCAAACAATTAGAACAGGTAAAGATTTACAGAAATAGAGATCACATAGAGGGTTATTAGCGGGGAGGGGGAAAGGGGAATGGGGAGAAAGGTGCAGGGAATAAGAGGCATAAATGGTAGAGACAAAACAGACAGGGGGAGGTTAAGAATAGTATGGGAACTGGAGAAGCTGAAGAACTTATATGT